GAGCAATGGAGATACATGAGTGAGTGAGCCATGGGACACAGTCTGAGCTTGGGAAGGGGCCCTGAGCAGTAGATGGGACTGGGGTGTTGGAAGGGAAGGAAGAGTAAGCACAGAACTGCAAAAGGAGTTACCAGAAGGACACTCAGAGATTAGAGATGAACTCTACTACCTAACAATTTTACCAGATAATATATTCTTTCCAAAACTTTTTTCAGAAAGGAAGGAAATGAAGTCTACCACATTTAACAAACAGTAACAACTAGGGCCACAAAACACTCAGGATTCCCTCCTTGGATTCCAGCACACCCATGGGTTGGGTTCAGCAGAGAGTTTTTAAGATGGGCTTCATAGCTTCTACATACAGAGGACATGAATTTTAAATAACAGAAATTGTAGCTCTAAATTCATCCAATCTCCTTGCTTTGGGGACTATGAAGAAACAGATGTGGCTCTGTGGGCTCATCGACAGCACTTAACAACAACATAACAGAAATATCATAGTGAATGGTTTTAACAAACATACATTCATTTTCTCACAGTTTAGGAGGCTTATAACTTTAAATTCAGAGCACCAGCTTGGAGAGAAGGCTTTCTCTCATTCCCCTGTATCTCGGCATCTCTTTCCCACTTCTCTGTTTCTCTCACTTGCTTGTTTTAGTCTCTCTTGTATCTCAACAGACTGACTCAAGACATACCCAAATGGGATTATAACATAGGCATAGGAGTTAAGATTAACAACACATGGGGGGGGGGGGGCGGAGAGGCCTATCAATCCATAATATTTCATTCTTTTTCTCTCCTAAAATCCATGTCCTTGCTACAAACAAAACACAGTCACATCATCACATCACTTCAAAAGTCTTAAATCTACTCCAAATTCAAAATTCCATTTTTTGAATTATCCAAATCAAATATGGTTGGGAACATTAGGCATACTCAACAATGGCAAAATTCATAGTCATCTGTGAAACCGGAAACTGTGACAGTTAGACTACAAGATATCTGTTTCTCAAATGGTAGAACACGCACAAGGTAGATATTTCCATTACAAATGGAGGAAATTGGAGGGAAAGAAGTGATAACAAGCAAGAAGGAAGTTGAAAGCCAAGTAAAGCAAATTACAATCGCTTGTAAAGTTTGAAAAGAATCCTCTCTTCTCTGAGACCATCTGGGCAATGGCCGCAGCCTGCAGACCTGGGGCATTGGTCATAGCCTCTGGATTCTGAGTGGAGCTCCCTTGACCTTGGGCTTCAGCTCTGCCTTCCAGGGCCTCTAGGATGACATCCTAGAAAGGATGACAGCTCTGCTCCCTCAGCTTTAAGCAGTGCCATTGGCCCAGTTCATCTGAGTGCTGATCCCACTACCTCAGCCCCAGCAGATGCCATTCTCCTGCCCCTGGGGCGTGACAGCCCTGCCCCTCAGCTTTGAGTTGTTGTTGTTGTTAAGTGCCGTCGAGTCGGGTCCGACCCATAGCGACCCTGTACAGGGTTTCCGAAGGTGTAAATCCTTACGGGAGTAGAAAGCCTCATCTTTCTCCCGCGGAGCGGCTGGTAGTTTCGAACCGCTGACCTTAAGGTGGTCTCAAATCCCTAGCACAACAGCAGCCCTCACACTCTGGAACTGCATTGGAGAAGACTCAACTCTAGAATGCCGTGGTTGGTCCCACCCTTTGAGATCCAAAAGACCATGGCCCCACCCTTTGAGACTATGAAGACCCTGCTTCCTGTACTCCTTTCAACAGATATACTAATTTCTAAGGTGCTTCAGGGATGTTCCTTTTCTTGGAGAAAGGAATTTGCTCCTTTGGCCTGTTTCCTGCCTGTAGAATTCCAAGAAGCAGACAGCATTTCCTTTCATTCTTTCTCTGTCCCCTTTAGTCTAAATAGATGGGTTTTCTACTGTGGTAGTCAGTTAGATTCATCACTCACAGGATTGATCTTTTAAACAACAGATTGTTAGCCAAATTCTTCATGGACATTCCAGAATATGTGTCCTTTGTTTGTACAACAGAATTTCCCAAAACAAAATGAAAAGTTTTGTTTTCATTTTGCACAGCTAATGTTTAAGTCCATAGCTTTCCTCTAAGATTTTACTGTAAATGGCAAGAAGAAACCATGTGTTCCCTATAAGATCTCACTGAGAAATCTTATCAGCCAGATATCCAAGCTCATTACTTTAAAGTTCTACCTTCTACCAAACATTTGAACATAATTCAGACAAGTCCTTTGCTATTTATTGCATAATACGCAATGTCTTTTCTACACTGTCCAATCACATGTTCATTTTCTTTTAAAGGCTCAAGTACACTTGGTGTCATATGTATTCTCTACATCTCTCTTCATTTCCTTCTAGGTTATTACCAGAATTGCCTTTGACATCCATAATTTTACCAATAGTCTCTTCAAGGCAATCCAGGCTTTCACTACGAGGCATCCTACCACTCTTCTAGCCTGTATTCATAACCCAATTCCCAAACGACTTCCACATTTTACCACTCTTCTGCTATGAAATTATGTTAATGCTGCTGTGACAGAAATATCATGAGTGAATATTTATTTTCTCACAGTTTAGGTGGCTAGAAGCCTCAATTCTGGGTGTGGCTCTAGGAGAAAGAAAGCTTTCTCTCTTTGTTGACTCCAGAGGAAGGTCCTTGTCTTGCTCAACATTTGTGAGCCCAGCATTCCTTGGTGATCTCCATGTGTCCTGGAATCAGTCTCTCCCTGGGTCTAAGAGGTTCACATCCAAAGGATGTACTCTGTTACCAGCACTTCTTACTTAGTGGGACTGAGGTCCTTCCTTAGCTGCTTCCTTCTCTCCTTTTCTCTCTTGTAAGATCAAAGGTGGTACAGGCCACACCACAGAAGAACTCCCCTTACGTCATCAGGGCTGTGACCTAAATAAGGGTGTGACACCCCAACCTAATACCCTTACAACTGGCTGACTGATCACAGCAGATCACAGCATGAGAGATGATGACATCATTAAAGAACTGCCAAATTACATCATCACGCAACTGTCACACTACTAAGAATCACAGTCCAGTCAAGTTGACACATATCTATGGGGTGGATGGAGTAAGGTTAGTATCAGCAGTGATAAATTATACTGATTATATGTATCACTGATATCTGATGAAAACGGCACTTTACCTTTGCGATCTCCCTCCTAAAAACCCGTAACCTGTCTAATCATGTGAAAATATCAAATTCCAATAGAGGTGCATCTCACAAAATACCTGACCAGCACACCTCAAAACCGCCTGACTTCTCTGCGTCTCAGTTTGCCTGTCTACAACACATGGTTGTTAGAACCAGATGAACCTAACTACCCTAGAATTCTCTGGTTGTAGGCATGCCTGTAATAGAGGATACAGAAAGAGATCCTAACAGAGATGCCACAAGAAAAGATGAGCAGGTAAGGAAGAGTGAGCATGTCTGAGCTGTAATAAGAGCAGAGGCTGCATTCAGTTGGCTTGTCTTCTATGAGGCCACTCTGTATATTGGGAAGAATCCCAGGATGCAGCAGGGCTGGAATATAAAGAAGGCACCACTTGATGCTAAGTCCTTTGGCACTGGTGCTATGTTGGTTCATCTTTACGCCCCCAGGACATCTTACATAAGAGGAACACCTTACATAAGATGGAAAAAATAGGAATTTCTCAGGGAATTTGCATATTATACTTCAACAGAGAACTAGAAAAACTGCCCAGTGCCAATCAGCAAAATACTATGTGATTCAATGGTACTGAATAAATTAACTGTGTGCCTGAGGACAAAGTATAAACAAACCAAGATCCTCATCCATCAATAAGGATACCACTGGCCTCAACCTATCATTTTTAGATGGAGAATCCAAGGCCTTGTGCTCTGCTCCGAGTTAAAATGAGCTTGGTGGTGGTAGTATGCTGTGGAGTCGGTTCCGACCCATAGCATCCCTGTACAGGGTTTCTGAGGCTGTAAATCTCTACAGGAGCAGAAAGCCTCATCTTTCTCCCACGGAACAGCTGGTAGTTTCGAACTGCTGACCTTGCAGTTCGCAGCCCAATTCGTAACCACTACGTTACCAGAGCTCCTTAGAATACAGGCATTACAGACTCTAGGGAAGAGCAAGTGAAATAATCAACTACTTATAAAGATGGAAGGGGACCGACAGTTGTAAATGCATAGAAAAGGGACCCTATGTGTCTTTAAAGTATAAGAAAATAGGCTTGCTTAAGGAATATATGACTGTGGTCAGCAAAAATGCCTGAATGTCAGGGATCAAATCACTTACCTAGCAAAAATTTTTTTAAAAAGTCATTACTTAGTTGTGACCTTTTCCAACTGGAATTCTCTTGATTCACAGAGCTTCACTGCAGGAATCTTCGTATTAATAAACACCACAATGGAATTCTTTAATGCCTCAAGTCTTTGTTTAAACATCCAGATTTCTTCCTCAGGGATAGCTGAAATTTATGCTGCTAATTATTTCTAAAATAATGTCACTGTGCTAAACAAACTAATCCTATTATATTTTCAAAAAAGAAAAAAGAGAAAGAAATGAAGGCCTCTCAAGGATTCTTCTTGCCGGTGTTCTTTTCACGCCACCAAACGAACCCAAGGCTAACAAGATGTGCTGTAATTATCACACGTCTGGCCGAGAGAGCTCTGCGTGTAAATATTTTATGGAGCCAGCACCAGGCCATGGTACCTGCAGAGTACAGTACTGTCTCACTGAGCCCTGGGGAATCCTAACCACTTCTCATTAATCAGCCCATCTTACTATCCATGGCTGGGATGGTGTTTGAAGAGACCAAAGGCCATTAAAAAAGGAAAACATTCCTGAAAGACTGACATTAACACTATGTACTATAAGGAGGCATTACTGAGATTTCAAGTACACCATGCAGGATAATCAAAAAGCTTACCTCAATGACCTGTTAGGACAGAAACAACTAGTCTAGACAGAAATCACAAATTTTGTCTACTCTAATAAGCCGTTCAAAAGGCACTCGGTTTTACCTCATTCTCTGGGGTGGGAGATGGCGTTACAGAACTAAGTGACCCTTTTCTAGAACCCTGAAGGTCTGCCGGGATGGAGACTGGGCGTTCCCACTGAGTCGTTCCCGTTGGGATGTGCCAGTAATAGGTCCCAGCGATGTCATTGATTCTTTTCCAGCCAGGCGGCAAATCCGGATCCGTCTGAAATGAGTGATCACTCCATATATCTGCTGGGAAATCAAGAGAAAAAAAGAGGGTTTAATTTTAAAGGAAACAAAGGACATTTCTCCAATTTGAGGATTAACAGGCAGTGGAAACCCACAGGTACACATGTTCATAGTCCAAAAGAGAACTAAAACCATCCTCTGGTCACAAAGTCTGGTAAAGGGGGTGGTGTGCAGAAAAACAGGAAAATGCTGAAAAGGAAGGTTGACATTTAAGAAGAGGGGCATAAAGGCTTCACCATCAAGACTTCTTATAGCTCCAGTACCTTTGACAAGCCAAGCTCCATTAACCACAATCAACGACCCCAGTAAAACACAGGCGTAGTCACAGAGAGAACGCCTTACATCTTTTTATAATTTAGTAAGATTAACTGGTTGGCATCATATTTTATTCTCAGCTTTGAGTACAACGCAACTTTCTTTAACGGTTTTCTAAAAATGAGTCGTTGCTATTGTTTGCTGCTGCAGAATTGAGCCCTGACCCATGGTAGCTTGGTGCACAATGGAACGCAGTGCTGCTAAGTCCTGCACCAACCCCGTGACCGGTTGCAGACTGGACTGTTGTGAGTCATAGGGTTTTTATTAGCTGTCTTAGTTTGGAAGCTCTGGTAAAACCTAGTCAGCATCAGAGCAACATGCAAGCCTCCTCTGATGGACGGGTGGTGGCTGTGCAAGAGGGACATTGGTCAGGAACGGAACCTGGGTCTCCAGCATGGTATGTGAGAATTCGACTGTGTTTACTATATCTTTCATGTGCTTTTAACAACTCTGCCCATGTGACCATAAATGCCTACAAAGTAGCAATGTTTTCTATGAAGCTCTAAAATTCCCAGTTGCTCACTGATGATTCTGAAGGAAAACGGATGGAAAAAGCCTTGGAATTCACCATAGGACTAGCCTGATTCTAGAAACAGATCAGTAAGGTGAACATGTGCAAAAGGGTGGCTGTGAGACCAGACAATGGAGAATGGTGAGGATTGTGCGAACAGGGAAGCACTGACCTGATCTGAAGGCATTCAAATGAAAAACTTATTTTTTAAAGAAATAATGTGGGTGCTGCTGGTTGCTGGGATGTGGAGGGTAGGGTGAGGGGAGGGAGTGGAAGGTGGAGCACAGGGCAGGGAATAGACACAGGATGGTTTGGGTGCTGGGGAAGGGGGCTATACACAAGAAGGGGGAGGGGAATGGAAGAACAGAGCGATGGGAGAACAATTAGGCAGGTTTGCATGGGCTAAGTGGGACAGAGGTAAATGATGATGTATGCACAACCTTGGAACAACAGGGCTTTGGGATACAGGGATTCAGATATGGCTGGAATGGGGAAAAGGGGGGAAATAATGTTAAGATGCTTGGCTGTCTTATGAATCTTGTTTTCCCTTGCATACCATTATAAAATATACACTGGAGGGAGAGAGAAAGAAATAGAAATATCACCATAGAAAGACTGTAAGTCCATATTCTGCCTATAACTGATTGGAATACCCAAAATGGGCTACAACGTGCCCAGTGAAGGAGGCTTCCTGCAGAGCCTCTGCATTATATAAGACTATAGGGGGAATCCTGAACCCCATCCAGAATCTTCAGAGGTGGGAAATTTACACTTGAAAGGACGGGCAGACCAGCCTGGAGTGGCTTGAAGAACAGAAGATACTTCTTGAAAGAATGACCGACAGGAAAAATACAAAACAATATAGGCAGACCGTCTGATTACTACAAGAACAAGCAAGTTGCTCGCCCAGGAGACATCAAGGCAAGTGGTCAGGTCCGCTCAGAGCAAACCCCCTTCCAAGACTAAGACTCAATGTGACACGCTCTGATTGGTGACCTCGTTTGTCACTGATAAGGGGAAGTGAGGGGAAAACAGCAATGAAGCTGCGAGCTAAGCACTACAATGTTCAATAGACTCCTGTGAACCCGGATGGACACCTGGTTGGCCAGCAGTGTGGCAAGACCTAGGGACTCTTGGGCCCAGAGTCAGTGACATAGCCATAGAGGACTAGAGCGGAGAGTGAAGCGTCCAGCTGATAAGAAGAGAGGGCATATGCACAAGAACACCCACACTTTCAGATAATACCCACTTGACCTGGCTTCAATGACTGGATGATCAGAGCTCAACTAGAAGACGAAAGAAAAGAAAAAAAAGAGTAATCTATACAATTTGATGAACTTGACCTACACCTATGGATGCAGTAGCTCAAAAGAGGGTAAAAATCTTTACAGCGAGGATCATTCCCAACCCCTCCATACACAGAGTAGACAGGGATGGGCAACTTGTGGACACTGGCTACCCAAAGTAGGGGGGCTACAAAGACAAGAAGTGACTGGCTTACAAACTTTCAATAGGGAACCTAGATCCAGAGGGCATGGAGGAAGGTAGACTCTCCACTGAGTAGTATCCAATCTGTCTAGGCGGGGCTGATGAAAAGAAACGTGGATAGGTCTCTTGTATGTGATACAATAGTGAATAATTGTTATCAGGATGGATTGTGAGGGTTGGAAATGCAAAGGTAGATGTTCTGTAGCAAGGAGGGGAGTGATTAACTTTGCAGTCTAGGAGCGGAGGTCCCTGGGACCATCAAGGCAGAAGAGTGGAGCGTGGGACCCTATCCAGAGAAGCAGTGACACCAGAGATGGAGGCAGAGAAGATGATGTGGAGAGATGGAGCAGCTGGGGACTTTAGACCCAGAGGGGGAGGGGCTGTGTGCTGACGATGGGGGGGGGGGGGGGTCAGGCTTGCAGGGAATACCCCTTGGTTGGTTGGGATGCATGGAGGGGATTGTAACCATGGCAATGAAACGATATATGATAGGATGAATGTAAAACTAATGTTCTCCCATGTATGCTATCACATAATTCACAGTAAAACATTAAAAAAAGAAACATGGGGACCAAATGAAATATAATATACCAGACAATTTCAACCATCCTCAACCTATGCCAATAGTCTATCAGTTTCCATAACTCTTTGCTTTGCAAAAAGAAATAATCTCTTTCTTGGTCTTATTTGAGTTGAATATGAAATGGATTAAAATGCTGAGTGAAGAGAGATGGGAGAGGAAGTAGAATAAGAAATTCAAGGAGAATGAGGCGTTAAGGGGGGAGCACGGGCAGTTTATCTATGCAGGTAGGTAGAAAAACGTAAGAAATGTGAGTTTTGCACCTGGGGATTACTTTATTCTAAGGGTTAGACAGAAGGATGCACGTTAAAGCAATTCAAAGGATAATACGTGTAGGCCTTGCTCTGTACAAATGTCACCGCATCACATGGGCAGGCGTCACAGAGGCTGTTACAGCCAAAGGAGAAACAGAATGCAAACAAAGAGGTCGATAGAGACTATGGGCACAGATGTGCATCCATGCGGTTTCTTGGTATTTCAACACTCACTTTTCTCATTTCCGTCTTCCAGAGGCAAACTGTCACTTGCCTCATATAATCATGGAAATTTCCACCTCCCCTTACAGGAAATTAAGCATAATTAAATAATTTCAAGTCACCCAAGGTTTGCAGAAACAACTACAAACAAACACGCGTTTATACTCCTTTGTTCTATCCCCCTTGGAGGGTGGGGATGGAAGATCATTGTGTGCTTTCAGCATCTCAGATGAGGCAGGAAAGGTACAATATAAATAAAGTCTGGGAGGAAGCCTTCTCCATCTTTAGTACAGGGTCTCTATCATTTGGAAATGGTTTGATGGCAGTGGGTGTGGGTTACTTTGGGGGTAAAATTAGAGTAAAACCTGCCTTACCAAACCAAGGAGTTCTCTGGTCCCACTTCAGTAAATCAAAGACAAGGTGCTGTGGGGTTAGACGCAGAAAAAGACTTAAAGAAGCTGCAGGTCACAGTTTATGAAATCTATGCAGCTGAATGTAGTTGCTGCTACAGCTGGGGCTCTGTCTGCCATGTATGAAGACTCGAAACAAGCTATTACCAGAATATGAAATCACAGAAGATCAAGAACAGAGACCAAGGTAATATGAAAGAGGTTTTGGGTTCTGTGGCAGGATTTGGGCTGCTGTATCATTAACCAGAGAGTCCTGATGTAGTGCTATGGGTTAATGTGCTGGACTGCAAAGTCATTTGAACTGCAAGGTCGACAGTTCAAGCTCACCAGCTGCTCCTTGGAAACCCTATACAGGGTCGCTATGGGTCGGAACCGACTCGATGGCACTTAACAACAACATCATTAACCAGAGAGTCCTGATGTAGTGCTATGGGTTAATGTGCTGGACTGCAAAGTCATTTGAACTGCAAGGTCGACAGTTCAAGCTCACCAGCTGCTCCTTGGAAACCCTATACAGGGTCGCTATGGGTCGGAACCGACTTGAAGGCACTTAACAACATTATTAACAGGGTCCGTGAAAAAAAGGAAGCCCCACAATGTGATCGACTGATACAGTAACTGCAACAATCCAACAATTGTGAGAGTGGTGCAGGACAGCACAGTGTTTGGGTCTGTTACATAGGGTTGCTATGAGTTGGAACCAGCTCAACAGAACCAAATAACATTTTCAATCAGAGGAATCTAGGATAAAAATAGGCCCTACTATGCTAGATAGTGTGTAGATAGATAGAGACAGACAGACAGACACAGAGACAAATACACAAACACAATGGGTCCCCCAAACCAACAATACAATAAGATATTATGATCTGAAGTCATGGTGTGGTGCTGTAGGATAAGTACTGGACCACAAGATTGGTTTGAACCGTAAAGTTGGTGGTTCAAATTCACCAGCCAGTCCTTGGAAATCCTATACAGGGTCGCTATAAGTGGGAACCATCTCGATGACACTTAACCAATAAAAAAAAACAACTTCATATGCCCAAAGAAAAATTCATACAATAGAATCAATGAGATGAAATGATCATTATGCTTCAAAGCATAAGGATAAAAGAAGACAATCTTATGGTGACTCTTTTACAGTGGAAAGCAGGTCAAAGCAGGCAGGGCTTTGAGGAACTGGAGGTCAAGCAACACCTGACCTTCCCCACCTGCCTTTC